CCCATAACCCCTTTAAAGGGACCTTTTCCATTTGATTTTCCATGTTCTTTTTCTTGGGACCTCAGCCAGGAATCAGCTCTCATCATCTGGCAGGTCGGGAAAGTATGGTCTCTTCATACAATCACTAAACCCTAAACCGTCAACTCTAGCACCCAAACTGCAGGTACCCTTGAGAGGACAATGACGTTACCAACCTCGCATCTGTTAGGGCCTCAGCTCTTTCTTGTTTAATGTTGCTGAGCTTCTGGAGCTTGGGCCCAAGCAGCGCGGTCAAATCACGAGGAGGTCGACGCACTGCGGTGGTGCCTTTGCAGCGTCAGGAATTACGCTTCATTGACTTTCAAAAAGGCACAGCCCTGAAAATATGGAATATTTCTGCACAAGAATTGTAGAATCCCATTTAGCGTCGGATTGTATTCTCAAAATTTCTGCCAATAGTAAGCCCTTAGCCCTCTACATCCGCCTCCCTACTGCCGAACACCGCCAATGGCAGTACAAATGTATTATCAGGGAAAAGGGTCTTTATTTGGGGAGATGACTACACTGCCTGGCAGATGCATTTGGAAGTAAGGCGAGGGCGGAATAAAAGGCCTCGTAGTAGTCGTGGTGGTGGTAGCTGCTGTTGTGCCAACCCTGCGCCAATGTCAAACACGACTCCCCTTCAAAGGGGTTTGTAGCGGGTGCTTTTTTCATATGTAGAGATATATACATATATATACATAGACTAATCTATTTGCACATACCACTTTTGTTTGGAAGGCTTAAGGATCGGAGTCTAGTATTTTCAAAAATTAGGGTCCAGTTCCAGGAATAAGCATGAACCGTATTTTTGGGCTGGATACAGTGGGGCTTCGCCAAGTCCAACTCATAATCCGACTCCTACGCTAAATCCCAAACCCTAAGCCCTGACCCCTAAGCCCTAAATCCTAAGCCCGACATTCCAATTTGGCTGCCCCGACTCCAAAAAAGCATCCTACGAGAAATGATGTCACTCTCATAGGGCCCTTGTTATAGGGGTTGGCGTTAGCACAAGCCCCTTCTCACCTCAACTCCTACCCAAGTTCTTCGCAGCCGGAATGCTTCTTGCCTGCGGTGGCCTGCGGGACCTGTGGTCACCACCTGTAGCAGTTATTTCTTAACTAGGGTTATATGGTATAATTGAAGCTAAATCAGCCGTGAATCTAGGGGAGGTCAGTATGGTGGGGTTGGTAGGGGAATCCATGATTTTCGGGCAGTTAAAACCAGATACAGCCTGATGCAAACAAGCATTGGGGGACAGTGAAAACAAGGCAATGCTATCCCCAAACCCTTTCAATGCCTATACATCTATGTGATCCCCGATTTCATTTCATTATTGATCTTCCGTTCCGTTTGATTTTCACTATCT